CCTCCTTCCCCAACGCAGATCCCTCCACTTCGCAAACACGGAACCGAGGAATCCCCCCGATTCGAAAGGAACAGTCTCCTGTTATGCGATCCTGGAAGAGGCACCACTTCAGGGTGGGAGGATCCCTCCGCTCACTCTTCCGGGCTGTTCTGCACTGCTCATATGTTGCTGCCTTCCCTTTTCTTGCCATTTTCTGTAACCACAGCCTCTGTGCAGCGCCGCAGCGGCAGGGAGCGTCTGCCCTCTGGTGGACAGGGCCGGCACTACAGGCCAGGAGCCCAGCCCAGCCCAGGTCTTGAAGGGACCGTTTCTAGGGCAGATCTCCAAGTCGTTAAGGAGCCCTCACTCATGAGGACCGTGCAGGAGGCTGCAGAAGTCCCCCCATCCACCCCTTCCCGGCCTCGGGCCAGCGGGCATTGTGAATGGCAGTATATATAGAGAGAGTCCATCAGCAACGAATGTAGCTGAGCTCTAGGAAAAGCAGCTGAGGTTTGGTTTGGTCCTGCCTGGCCCCCAAGTCCATCTGCGCCTCCTTCGCCTCTACTTATCGGTAAATCCTGACACAGGCCTTTGTTTCCGCTGCAGTGGACGGCTGCACCCTGTTCTCAGTGGAGTCCCCAGTGGTGCCCCTCGCTTCCATCCACCCAGCCCGGCCCCAGAGCTCACCTTGAGGGAGATGAGTCGCAGCCGGTAATCCTCAGTGTGGATGACCCTGTGCACGGTGATCTCTACGCCATCGTGCACCACCTGCTCCTCCGGCCAGTACTCGGTGCATTTCTGCAGGGGCCCAGATCAGGCTGCGAGCCGCCCTCTGCCCCATCCCCTGCCACACCCCATCCCTCCCCAACGCCCCTCCAGGGCCAGCAGGGGGCATAAAAACACAACAGGTCCTGAGCTCCACAATCTATAAGAACATGAACTCTATGGCTCGGTATCTGTATCCGGCAGTTGGAAACTGTCCTCATTCTTAAGGACTTCTATGGGGAGTCAATGAACCTGGCTGTCATGGGTACAGCCAGTGTTGGTCCTGGCCGGCTGGGAAGCAGCTGAGCATCACGGGTACCGGCGGTGGAGAGGCTGGCTCCAGGCTCCACCAGTGACCACATGGTCCAGCTCTGGCTGCTGTGAGCCCCGCCAGCCTCACAGGCCAGTCATAGGATTCACGTGGGATCCTGATGCTTGGGACAGGACACAAAGCAGCGAGCACTTGGTTACGGCCCGGGGTCCCTACCTCGTTCATCTCCTCGATGTTGGTGATCATGACGATGATGGGCGCGTGCTCCTGCCACACCATGCGCCAGAAGTCGGCCACCGTGCTCACGATGGGGCCCTGTGTGGCGATGTACACCTTCTCCTCGCCGCCGTAGCCCTGTGGCCAGCCGAGCCCAGGTTGTCAGGCTTGGAGGCAGCACTCCCAGGGCCCAGTCCCCACACTGGGGCTTGTCCCGGGGCTGGCAGCAGCCACACTGGTTTGGCCGTCGGGATGGGGCTACGTACCCGGATGTAGTTGGCATTGATGTAGGAACTCAGAGGATCCTCGGGATCTGGCGAGCTCAGACACACTCTGCTGTGAGGGTCTGGGGTGGGGGAGGGAGCCAGGTGAGGCAGGGACCTGGGCACGGCCCACTCCAGGGCCCCACCCCTCTTCTGGGACCCGGGCAATTCTTCCTTCCCCCCTGGCCATTAAACAAGGACCCCTCTTGGGGTCCATTTGGACAGGACAGGCGCGGCCTCGGGTAAGGAGGCAGTGGGAGAGGCCCTGTTGTGTGCCCGTGCCCCTTCAGCTGTTCTGCACTCCCTGCACCCCACGTTCTGGGGAAGAGAAAGCTACGGCAGGAAAGGGGTGACCTTCGGTAGAGATCCCCGACAGCAGGTGGCAGCTGCAGAGTGCGGATGCGCTGTCGCTGACCGGCTGAGACGAGACGACAGATGCGTGTGCACAGGGGCCCTCTCTCCCCAGTCTATTCACGTCAGTTCCCCGAGTGACAGATTCCCGTAACATCCTGTTCTTCCCGGGGTAGACTCTGCTTTGTTCCAGCTCCAGCCAGCCTCCCTGTAGTTGTCTGTTCTGGGACCGGGTGCGGGGTGGGCAGGGAAGCTAGCTGGGGGCCTGCAGCTCTGGGGCCTGGGCTCACTTTGGCACAGAGTCTGATCCCTTCTCTGGATCGAAGGCGCTTCTAGCGGGCACAGGGGGGCTTGCACAGGTGGTGGTCATTGCCAAGTCCACATCACCGAGCCAGAGAGCCTGGATGCGGGACGTGGCCCCATGACTCCCCGGCAGCATCGAGGTGGACAGTCTGCCCCGTCTCCCTGTGCCTCGCCTGCACGGTGGGGATGCTCTGTTCACCACGACCCCAAATACTGTGTGAAGGTTAAAGGAGGCAACGTTAGTTAGCTGGGTAACTTAGACCAGTGTGCACACAGCGCCGCACGGCGAGCAGCTGCCACACAGTTGCCATTGCTGCCAGCTCTACCATTAGGCAACGGGTAAAGGAAGAGTCTGCAACACGTGCACACCTCGCCTCTGCTGCCCTTTGCCTCCCGGTCCCACTGCCTGAGGTCTTGGCAGCACCGTGGTTGTCGTGCAGAGGGACACAGCAGGGCGGCGCGGATGGAGAGGGGCGAGGGGGAACTTCGGGAGCAGGTAGCTGTGCCTGTGCTTGGCCATCTCCCTTCCCCTGGCCTGCACTGTGTCCAGATCAGAGGCCAGCAGGACGGAAGTGGGCACTGCCCACCCCCACCAGACACCAGAGCCTGCAGCATGCTGGGCAGGCAGATGAGGAATATATGGCAGTTGAGCACTGGGGCTGCGGGAGCAGACTTGGCCCGGCTGCGTGGGCTTCCTGGAAGAGGTGGCTCCTTGGCGGGGTTGGCAGGCCCTTAGCCGGAAGAGCAGGGGATGCTGTTGTGTGGGATTCCAGTGCCCAGGGCTGGGCGGGACTCGTGAGAGGCGAGGCTGGACGGGAACGAGAGGCTACAGGGTCTTCTAACCCAGGCTTAGAAAGCTGACCCTCAAGCCAAGGGCCACACGGTGGCAGCGGCTGCGTCTGAGGCGGAGAGCGACTCGACCAGGGTTCTGCTGTGCAGCACTCCGCGGGCAGCGCCGGGAGGACAGGAGAGGGGAGCGTGGAAGTCAAGAGAGTGGACAGCAGAGGACCGCGATGAGCCGGGTGAGGCGTGTCGGGAGTCACAAGCACGCCTGGCGTGTGCCCAGGTCTCTGTACGTGGCATCCCCTGCGACTGGCCCTGACCTTGTCACTTGGCGGTGAGGACGGAGAGGAGAAGCCGCTGCTGGGAGGTGTTCATCCACCACCCACCTACTCCCCCTCCTCCTAACCTGTCCACCTCTCCCTGCCCCGTCTGTCCATCTATCCACTCATCTGACTGACCATCTACCCATCCGTCCGTCTGTCCATCCACGAGCCACGCGCCAGGTACCGTTTTGGTGCTTGGGACACAGTGGTGGAAGACAGACATCTCTGGCCTGCCCCTTGTTCTCCATGCCTCCTGCTGGGTTACCATCACGCTGTGCACCTGTCTCTCCCACTGCACCAGGGCTCCTTGTGCACGGTCTGTCTTATTCACATCTCAGCTCTTAGCCTTGAGAAACGGGTGCTGCCTCAAGGAGACCTCAGGGTGGCCAGGACCTGAGGGGCGGCCTCTGCTAAGCCTGCCCAGTCCTCCTCCCCTGAACCCGGCTCTGAGCGAGCAGGGTTAGCTTGTGCTGGACACACACAGGAGGTTGGGGCCTGGAAGCTAGGCCACGGCTGGAGTGGCTTGAGGCTCTCCACAATCCAGCGAGGACCAGGGGAGACACGGCCCGACTGCTGCCCTCCCCAGTGGGAATCCTGAGTGGCCAGCAGGGCCCCAGGTGCTGGGGGACCCGAGGCCCCCCGACCCCCCCCGCCCCAGGCAGGGCTGGGAAGGGGAGGGCAGGAGGAGGAAGAGGTAAGCCGCCCTGAATAACGCACCCTGGCCTTAAATGGTGCTTTGTTGAACCGGAACTACCTAGAGACTCTGTATCCATAGCAACCACAAGTCGATATTTTAAAAGTTAAAAATAAGTCATGACATCTTACATGTTGTCGGAGATGCTGATGGCAATGCCGCTTTTTGAAAGCCTTGCTACTCCACACACGGAGTGGAGTATATTTGCGGCGATTCGCTTTCAACACGTCACCCACCACCCCCGTCTCCGACCCCAGCAAGCCCTGGGGGCCCGGGCCCAGAACTTGGCAGGGGTGGCAGGCACACAGGGGCCTGATGAAAGTGACTTGGACACTCCAGGGCACAACGAGGAGCACGGGGTCACCTGTCTCCCACCCAAAGGGAGGAAAACCCCGCAGTGTCTTGCATACACTGAGTGACGGGGAGCTCACTCCCTGCAGAGGCAGCTCACTCCCCTGAGTGGTGGCTCTGCCTGTTAGAGAACTCACAATCTGAGCAAATGGAACACCAGACAGACAAGAGAGCCCGAAACTGGGGTCACCGGGGCCCAGGTGTGAGACCCAGTTCTGTGCATCCTATCTGGGACTGTAAAGGACGCATGTGTCACCTCTTGAGCCCTAATCTTGTCTTCTTGATATCCACCCACTCTGTAGAGAGAAAGGATGTGGCCGCTTCTCAGTCCCCACGCACTGCTTAGGAGCTGCCAGGATCGCCTCCCTGTCTCTCTGGGTTTCCCCAGAGCCCAGCACAATGCTGGCCAGGCAGGGCAGGGGTCCCGAGAACGCTGCGTGGGAGGGGGAGCCAGCCTCTGCCCTCACCAGCAGGTGCCTGCTTCACTGCACCTCCAGTGCCCCGCCCCTTGTCCTCCAGTGCCCTGTCACCCATGCCACCCAGCTCCGGCCTCCCTGTCTCCCCAGGGTGAGGCAGAGCCTGCCCCAGGCCCCGGGGGCGGGGCGGGTACTCACTGGGCAGGATGGTTTTGTACCGGTTCTTCCGCACCAGCCCGGGGATGTCGTACTCTTTGGGATCCACAAAGTTCATAGGGATTTCCTGCAGGAGGAGAGCGTGGTGGTGTTGAGTGGCTGACCCCCGGACCGCTGCGCCCCCCACTTCCCGTCCAAGGGGTGGCCTGGGTGCAAGCGCTCCTCCAGCAAACCATCACTGTTACACCAGTTCGCAACGGTGCCAGACGCGAGCTGTGTGTGCAATGTCACTGCTGCTGCTTGGGAGCCAGCCTGGCATGCAGTAGGCACTCAATAAATAACTGGTAAATACAGATGGCGACAAGGAAAGGAGACACGGCCAATCAAGGCCTTCTCCCACACACTCTGTGCAGCAGCCCAGCTGAGTAGCCTACCCAGGGCATTCCTGCTAACACCAACCCCTCCCTTATCTCCTGGCCGTCTTAAAGGCCACCTCCCAGGGCCCCTATTGTGGTGTAGTGGGTTGGGCTGCTGTCTGTGATGCTGGCTGTGCACATGGGTGCCAGTTCACATCCTGGCTGCTCCACCACCTCTGATCCAGCTCCCTGCTGATGGCCTGGAAACAGCAGTGGAGGATGGCCCAAGTACTTGGAATCCCACCACCAGTGTGCAAGACCTGGATGGAGCTCCTGGCTTCAGCCTGCCCCAGCCCTTGCTGTTGCAGCCCCTTGGGGAGTGAACCAGCAGATGGAAGATCCCCCCACCCTCACCACTCTGTACCTCTGCCTTTCAAGTAAATAAATATATCTTTATAAAAAAAAGTTTAAAAAAAGTCACCTCCTCTGAGAAGCCTTCCTGATTCTCCAGTGGGACAGGAGCCCTCTGAGCTGCTGAGGCTGCCTCTACATCTCCCATTCACTCTGTGTGTCAAGAACTCCTAGCTCAGTGTGATTATGAATTGTGACCAAGGTTGCTAAAAGGAGGTGTTAACAGGGGAAGTGGGCTAAGCTATGGGAACTCTTTGTATTATTATCTCCTAATTTTTGTTTGGTAAATTTAAAACTATTCTCAAATAAAATGTAAAAAACTTAAACAAAAAAAGAGCTCCCAGTGTGCCCTTTGACCCCAGGACGTGCACTGTCTTGGGTCTGACCTCCCTCTGCCTCCACGGGTGCCAGTCTCCTCCTGGTTGCTGATCAGCCAGCCTCAGTTCTGCCTCCGGGTCGGCCTTCGGCTTGCTGGGAGCACAGGTTGCATCTGTCTCTGAGCCCCATTTCAAACCTAACCTTGACTCACAACGACGGGGCTGCTGCACTCTCCTGGGTCCTCTCAGCTCTTAATTGGGTGGGCAACCAGGGGTGTCACTTCTAGGGCCCCTCAGGGTCCGAGAGGAGGCAGCTGGAGGCTGTGGCATGGAGGCCAGTTGGAGAAGGTGACTGCGACTTGAGCCACAGCCCCCGTGGAGGCGATCAGAAAGAATTCAATAGTTTGAGCTTATATTCTTAGAACTGTATCTATGGCCTACGCTGACCCTATTAAAAACTAATGAAAAATTAAAATAAAAAACAAGGAAAATTCAAATCAAAACCCAAAATGAGATACCACCTCCTACCAGTTAGGATGTTATCATGAAAACAATAACAAAGTTAACGAGCATGGACAAGGAGATGGGAATGATGGGATTCTTGAACACAGGTGGTCGGAAAGCACAATGGAGTAGTCGCCGTAAGAAACAAATTAAACACAGACTGATCATATGGCCTACTGACTTCATCTCATTGTTCACTGTAGCACTGTTCACAATGGCCAATGTCAAAAACAATCTAAATGTTCACCGGCAAACAAATGTGTTCTAAAAAATAAAATAGGGGCCGGTGCTATGGCATAGTTAGGCTAAGCCTCCGTCTATGGTGCTGGCATCCCATATGGGTGCCAGACCGAGTCCGGGCTGCTCCACTTCTGATCCAGCTCTCTGCTATGGCCTGGGAAAGCAGTAGAAGATGGCCCAAGTGCTTCGGCCCCTGCACCTGTGTGGGAGACCCAGAAGAAGCTCCTGGCTCCTGGCTCCAGATCAGCTCAGCTCTGGCCGTTGTGGCCATCTGGGGAATGAACCAGCGGATGGAAGACCTCTTTCTCTCTGTTTTTCCTTCTCTTCCTCTCTGTAACTCTGCCTCTCAAGTAAATAAATCTTTTAAAAAAAAAAATGAAATAAAGGAATGGAATTCCAAAACAACAAGAAGAGTTTGAGCAACGCTTGCTGATGTTGGCCAGGAGTCCCCGAGGGTCCGGCTGTCTGTGGTTCGAAAGCCCGATTGTGGCCCACGGACTCAGAACCCCAGAGCACCCCGGGCGCCTGCCCGCTGCTCTGCACTCGCTGTCCATCTCTCAAATCCAGACTACAGCCCTAGTACATTCACCCCCATTTTTCAAGTGGGGAAATAGGAATACAGCGGGAGCGGCTTGTCCACGGTGGCGGGAGAGCAGACACTGAGGTGAGGTTAACGTTCCGCAGATGCCGCGTTCTGGGCACTGTGTTCTACCTCCCAGCCAGGGGCATGACCGGGACGCCCAGAGAGGCCAGCAACTCGGGGTGGGGTGGGGGTGGGGACTCACAAGGAACTCCGCCTGCAGGAGGAAAGGGTCCAGGGCCTTTTCATGCAGCTCGTCCGCTCGGAGGACGCGGGAGGCGCTGAGCAGGTACTCGTGGGCCGACTCCTCGCGGGGCGACACCAGGTAGCCAAAGCCCTCCTCGTTGCAGCCCGGCGTGCACATGTCCAAGGTCAGGGACACGTTGGAGCCCCTCCTGGAGGCACAAGAAGGAAAGTGAGCCTCGCAGCAGAGGGTGGAGTGGGTGGGATGAGGAGGGGGGATGGTCGGGGAGCGGGGGAGGCCAGGGTGGGCTTGAGGAAGAGGAGCGGGAAGGTGACCTGACCCACTGCACGCCACAAGGAGCAGGAGTCTCAGCCTGACCCCCCACATCCTGCCTCCTATCCTGGAGCCCCTAACCGACTTTTAAAAAGTTTCAGCCAAAGCAACCCCAACTGGGCTGCCCTGGGCTCTCCTCTGTCAGTGCAGGAGGCGGCTCCTCCCTGTGGCCTCCAGGGAGCTGAGAGAGAGAGAGAGAGAGAGAGAGAGAGAGAGAGAAACAGCTCCACATCCTCTATATCACGCCCTGGGCCCAGCCAGCCTTCATGGAGGCTGCCCAGGTGCCAGAGACCAGCAGGGGGTCCCAGGGGCAGCAAGGATGTCTACACTGGAGTAGCTGCACTGCGCTCCGTAGAGGGGGACTGAGCCCCCTGCCCCCTTCGCCCACACTGTCACAGTAAGGCGGGGGCAGAGCTGAGACAAAACCTAGGTTTTCTGACTCCTCATCTAGTGCTCATTCCATGCCGTCAAGTGGGTAACTGAGACTTGGGGTGACCTGGCTCTGGAAAGGGGGTGTCTGTATCTCCCAGGTGTGCTCTGTGGAGCACCATGCGATACTCCATAAAAACAGGGATCTTGGATGGAGAACTTGGGCAAACGCCACGCTGTCCCCTTGCTGATACACGCAGGCATGGCAAAGCCAAGGTCCGCAATGAAGAAGCCCACCCGGACTCACTGGCATGCAGGGCTGCGTGAGCGTGCGCAGGGGTCTGCCCGCACACCTCTGTGTGTACACAGGAGGCGGTGGCACCTACGCGAAGCACTAGAACAGCACGTCTCCACTGGCTGAACTGTATGGCCAGCTCTGTCCTGGGCACCGGGAGGAGGTCAGAGTCAGGCACCCCTCCCCCACCCCGCCCCCACCCCTCCCACCTCTCCTGCAGACCCATGGCCTTGACGGTCAGTGAGGTGGGGTCAGCCTCAGGCTTGATGTCCATCACACAGTCAAACACGGGCGTCTCGGGCACAGGGTCCAGGTCCAGGAAGTCATCCTCTCCCTTCTCCTCCATCCACTCTGAGTAGGTGAAGGAGGGCTGGCGGCTCACCGACTGGCGCCTGTCCTCGGCGGGCAGTGGGGCGGGCGGCTCTGCAGGAGCCCTCAGGAAGTGCCACACCTAGTGGGAGGCACGTGGTGTCACAGATGGGGATCGGGGACAGTGCTGGCTGACCCCGGGGTTCCTGGGACGCCCACGGGGCGGGGTCTCCTGCCCCTCTGAGTGTCTGCAGCAGCCTTGCTCTCCTGGGGACTGTCGCCAGGACAGGAGGGCTGTCCCTCCACTCTCCTGCCTTGCAGCTCAGAATCTTCACGGGCTCAGGCCTTCTTGGTGGGCCTGGGGGGTTCCCAGAGCCACCTTCTCCCCAGCCCAGGTCACTGCAAGTCTCCTCGCTCCTGGAAGGGCCCACAAGTGGAAGGAGACAGGACCCTTGGCCTCACCTCACCCAGGTCAGAGGGCAGCTGGAGGGGGAGGGGGAACCGGGGCCTGAGCCTGGGGGGGTTGGTGCCTTACCAGGGGGGCGACGAGGAGCAGGCCCACAGACAGAGAGAGGAGCAGCAGACTGGGGAGCCCCCAGGCCCCAGCGCCCAGCCAGGCCTGCGGAACGGCGGACAAACAGGTCAGGGTGCTGGCGGTGGCAGCATTTTCCGCCTCTTCCAGGTGGCCAAACTAAGGTTCTGAACACCCATGTCCCAGGGCTTGGGATGGGGAGCAAGCCGAAGAACTGCAGGGGCTGGGCTGGCAGTATCCTTCCGAACTTAGGGACGGCCCCTCTGCGGGTGGGAGAGTGGGATGGGCCCCCGACCCCGTCACCCCCCTTCCCCGGGGGCTCCCTGGAGCTTACTCACCGTGGCCCCCAGCTGCTTCAGGAGCGTGAGCAGGGAGGAGATGAGGTCTCTGGCATTCTGCGACCACGCGTGGCCATAGCCGCTGAACCACAGTACCCCGCAGGCAAGCTGGGGCGGCCAGGGGAGCGGACTGAGCTCCAAGCGCAGGCACTCGCCCCCCAGCCCCCAAGCTGAGCTCACCTGTGGCCTCAGCCGGGCCCCTGGGGGAGGCTCCTGCACCTCGGGACAGCTGAGGGAAGGGGGTCCCCAGAGGAGGCCTCAGGAAGCCAGGAGAAAGCCCCTCCCAGAGGAGACCCGGTCGGGAGTGTCACACAAAGGGAATTCCTCAGAGACCTTCTAGAACCAGGGGGTTAGGGCTGGGGGTCCCGTGTGCCCAACTCCTGGTGTGAGGGGCTCAGAGCTCCAGGCTTCCCCTCACACCTGCTATGAAGACCCAGAGTCGCCAAGGGACACCAAGGACATCCCTGCCCTGCTGTCTCCCCAGGTGGCCACGTTGGGAGGAAGCGGCGAGGCGGTCTCTCAGCCCACCCTGGCCACAGGCCCGGGTGAAGCCTGCAGGTCCTTACCACGAACTGGGCGGCAGCGAACAGGCCCAGGCTGCTCCTGACGGTGAGGGAGTGGCTGCCGGTGCCTGGAGGTGGCGGCTTCTGCGCTGGCTCCGTGGGCGGTGGGGGCGGTGGCATTGCCGTCGGCGAGTCAGGGAGCCCTTCCATCTTGTCCGGCGCCTCCATCACTACAGGGTCGGGGAGACCTGTGGAAGGCGGGACACGCAGGCCACTGAGCACGGCTGCTGTCCGCACACGGGGTGGCCACTCCTGGCCGCGCTGCCGTGGCTTCCTCTGATCCGATGCGGGATCAGTCGGTGCGGCTCCACTTCCCGCAGTCACCCTAGATTAGCAAGAGCGATATTCACCTACCTTCGTCAGAAAGAGCTAAGTGTGGGTGGACAGATTATTTCTCTTTTATTTCTCCAGTAACAGAGTTAAAATGGCAGGAGGTTTTTCAGAGTTAATACCGCTGTATTTACGCAGCTTCATTCTTTTCCATTTCTTAAGGAAACAAAAAACAACCACCTCAAACTCAATTGAAAAAAAAAAAAAAAAGGGAGGGGGAAAGACACAGCAGGATCAGGCCATGACCCTGAGCAAGCCACCCACGCCTGCACTGGGGATTTCTGTCTCTTCTGGTCTGTGCTCCCACTGGGCTGGGGGGTGAGACTCTTAATGAGATCATGGCCACGTGACCCTGTCCCTCAGGCCTCCCCACCCCCAACACTGACGGGGTTGGAGGGGGAAGGCAGTTAGGGCAACGTGGAGAAAATTCTGGTGTAGCAGGGTAGGGGTCCCTTGTCTCCTTGGTGAGAATCACTCCCTGCCTACGTCTTAGTTTGTCCTCCTGGGAAATGGCGGTTGAGCTCCATCCTTGGCTTTCTAAAGGCACTTTACAGGGCCACTGCATTTCCCCAGGTGCACCAGGGGCTGGTGCTGCGTGCTCCGAGCCCCCGTGTCACAAGTGTGGTTGTCCCCGGTCTGTGCGCTGGGTCTGCTATGCTTATGTTAACAGAAACTCACTCCTAAGGAGTCTCAACACCACTGGCTTAGGTTAGAGGCCCTGGCTCTAGTGTGGGGACTGCAGGGATGGCCCCCTGGGGAAGGGGGCATCCCAGATGTTGGAAGGCCCTACTCAAACACACAGGGTTTAGTTTACGGCCAAGAAGAGCGGGACCAACGAAATGGCAGTGGACAGCTCGATAGCCTGGGAAGGGGCTGTGCACACATCGCCATGGCTACAGGAGGATGGACTTCCTTTCCAGCAGGATGGCAACAGAACCATGGGAGGCCAGCATAGCTGTTTGTCTCCGTGTTTGTGTGCTCACTGGACAAACATTTGCCAGGCCTCTCTCCTGTGATGCCAACAGCCCGGGGCCTGGAGACACCTATGTTTGTGGCTGGGCCCCGCTTCCCCGGCTGCTAACCTTGGATGGCTCCTTAGCTGCTGTGTGCCAACCAAACCCCCTGCAGTTCCCAGAAGTGCCTGCTGCCCCCATGCTTTGCACAGGCTGTTCCCTCTGCCTGGGACGTCCCTCTAACTCCCTGCACCCCTCCTGTGCCTCCCCCATACCTTGCCATCTTGCAATCTGCAGCTGAAGTAGGTCCTGCCCTGCGGTACAAGAGGGAGCAGCCCAGGCTCCTCCTGCCTACTGCCAGCACCAACAACGCGTCTGTAACGTGCAGGGCCCTGTTCTGAGTGCTGCACGTGCGCTAATTTGTTTGCAAACCCTAGGAGGTTGGTACTGCTATTATCCCCACTTCACAGACGGAAGAGGAAGATGAGGTATGGAGAGGAGGAGAGAGATGCTCGCTGTCACCCAGCTGCTAAGAGGTGGGTTCAACCCAGTGCACTCTCCATGGTCCGTAAAACGATTTGTTGACTATGGCCTTCCTGAACATCACCTTCCGACTCGCCTGCAAGCTCCCTGAGGACAGAGTGCTACCAGTGCTGCTCCTCGTGACTGCTTAGCCCGTCTTGAGCATGTAAGTCTACAACGGATACTTACTACGCAAGTGATGGTCTTACTCATTTTTCTTACCTGATAAATGGGGATAATTGTGCACACTCTAAAAAGCTGTATAAAGACTTCAGATACTAAAGAAAAAAACACCCGGCATGATGCCTAGTAGTTAGTGGGTACCCGATACATGGCATATTATAAGAAATGTAACAAGATCATTTTTAATCTTCAAAAGCCTCCCAGTCTTACGGATAAAACTTAGCAGTAAATATCTGGCTACAAAGCCACACGCTGGGGCTGGCACTGTGGCGCAGCTGGTCAGGCTGCTGCCTGCGACACCACATCCAGTGTTAGAGTCCCAACTGCTCTGCTTCCAACCCAGATCCCTGCTAAAGCGCCTGGGAAGCAGTGGAAGATGGTCCAAGTGCTTAGGCCCTTGCCACCTGCATGGGAGCCCTGAATGGAGTTCCAGGCTTCTAGCTTCAGCCTGACCCAACTCTGGCCGTTGCAGCCACCTGGGGAGAAAACCAGCGAAGGGAGATCCCTCTGTCCCTCTTCCTTCCAACCCAACTACATAAATCACATTTTTTTTTGACAGGCAGAGTTAGAG